AGCCTATATCCCCATCTGGGGGGGTAAATCGGCCAGTGGGGCCCAGGCCACGCCGATGGGGATGGGGATCGGTTAAACGATACTCAATGGGGTCCGGAGCAGGGGACAATCGCCCGTGGCTTCCGAGGTGCGACGCGCTCTGGGCCCGGAGGGGGGGGAAGGGGGAAGAGGAGGGGGAGGAGGGGGGAAGAGGAGGAGGAGGAGGAGGAGGAGGAGGAGGAGGAGGAGGAGGAGGAGGAGGAGGACGACGAGTTGGAGGAGGAGGAGGAGGAGGAGGACGAGGAGGACGAGCAGGAGGAGGAGGAGGAGGAACAAAAGCGCCCCCATGGCCTCCACGGCGTGGGCCCGCCCGCCCCGCGGCGCCCCGCCGGAGGAGGACCGGACCTTTGCGGGCGTGAGCCTCTTCTTCACGCTGTGCTTCTGCGCCGAGCTCGCGCTGCGCATGCTGGCAGCCCCCCCCAATTCCCAGACCCCCTCGAGTGATGAAAAAATCACGACGGGAGGTTTCTCACCCTTTTCGGCCTCTGGGGACCCTGGCCGGGCCTCGGGACCGTCAAGAAACGACTCGGGATGAAGAACCGGTCCCGGGGAATCGGTGCATACCTCGGGGGTCGACGTAGCGAAAAAACCATGACGTCGGGGGTCTGGGCTGCGGGCTCGTCCTGCCCCCCGCGGAGCCCAAGGGGCCCAGGCCTCCCCAGACTCTTCCCGGGGGGGCACGCGCAGAGGGGTGGCGCGCGGCGGGGGGGGGACCTGCTGGGAGGGCGGAGGGCCCGTCGGAGGGCGGAGCCCTCCTCGGGGGGCCCGGAGGCTCCTCGGAAGCTGGCTCGTCCTCTGGGCAGGCCCTTTGCCTTCTCGGAAGCTCCCCCGCCTGCTCGGACCGCCTGGCGCCGGCCCCCCCTCCTGCGCGCCGCCGGCAGATCTCCGGCGGTGTGCGTGCTCGTCCAACCGGCGGTTTTTCCGAGGTCTCGGCAGCCCGGGGGCCGTGTTCGAGCCCCGGGGCCATCGAAGAACGGATCGGGGGCGAAGGGCCACACACAGCCGGACCGAGGTATGAGGTCGAGGTCGGTTCGGGGAGGCGGGTGCCTTGATGTTCTTCGTGTTTGTTGGATGCTCTCGTGCATCCTGGGGGGGTACCCTCGGATGTTGTGTGTGTTCTGGACGGCGGAGGGTCTCGTGCTCTTGAGGCATGTTCTTCTGCCTTAGGTTTAAGTCGGGCCTTTCCGTCTACAGGAGGAATATTTACAGATAGTCAAAAGTAGTCTGGGGACGATTTTTCGACTACTATGTTTGACCAGTCTGGCTTATTTTTGGCTATGTATTATTTTTCGTAGAAAATCCGCTTGTAGGGGGACACGCCCGACCGAACCTTAGGTCCGACTGTGTGCAGGGAAGCGGTGGGGACTCCCCCGGCCGCGCAGGGGGAACATTCAAAATTGGTCAAAAAATACTCTGGGGATGATGTTTCTAGCATTTTGTTTACCATTCGGGGGCATGTTTGGACTATTTTTTATTTTTCCCACAAAATACCCCTGGATGAGGACAGGCCCGACTTAATTCTACCGCGGCGGTGCGCCCGGTGCTTCTCAAGGGCCCCGCGACCCGCGAAGAGGGCACCGCACCCTCTGGCCTGGGCACCGCAGCACAAAGCAAAAAATCCACGCGGCTGGCGTTTTTCGGCCTTGCTCGGCCGATGTCTGCAGACGTCCAACCCCAGACATGATCGCGTCGTGAAAAAATCAGGACGGCCAGTTTTTCGCTATTTTCGGCCCCTGCGGGCCCTCGCCAGGCCCTGGGGCCGTCCAAAACCACGCAGAACCGGCCCTGGGGAAGGGGTCGGGACTTCTGGGGACGCCGCCCTGAAAATATCAGGACGTCGCATGTTTGGGTCCGTGCTCGGCCGACGTCCCAGACTTCCAACGTATGGGGAAATCAAGACAGAGATTGTTCGTCGTTTTCGGCCTCCGGGGGCCCTCGCCGGCGACCGCTGGTTTCGCCGGCGGCTGGTTTCGCCCGGCTGGTTTCGCCGCCCGGCGAAGCCAGCTGCCGTCGGCGAAACCAGTCGGCGAAACCAGCTGCCGTCGGCGAAACCAGCTGCCGCCGGCGAAACTGCCCGACCCGAACCGCCCGCTAGGGTCCGCCCGCCCGACCCGACCCGCCCGTTAGGCCTCGCGCGTGCTCGGTCGAGTGCGCCCCATGCTTAAATGCCCCACCCGCCCGACCCGACCCGTCCTCCTGCAGGGTCCGCCCGCCCGACCCGACCCGACCCGCCCGCTAGGGTCCGCCCGCCCGACTCGACCCGCCCGTCAGGGTTCGCGCGTGCTTGGTCGAGCGCGCCCCATACTTTAATGTCCCGCCTGCCCGACCCGACCCGCCCATCAGTGTCCGCCCGCCCGACCCGACCCGACCCGCCCGCTAGGGTCCGCCCTCCCGACCCGACCCGCCCATAGAGGCTCGCGTCGGCGAAACCAGCGCTGGCGAAACCAGCGCCGGCGAAACCAGCTGCCAGCGAAACCAGCGGGGCGAAACCAGAGGGGCGAAACCAGCGCCGGCGAAACCAGCGCCGGCGAAACCAGTCGTCGGCGAAACCAGCGCCTGCGAAACCAGCGCCGGCGAAACCAGTTCATGCCCCCTCGCCGGGCCCCAGGACCACTAAGAAACGATTCAGGACGAAAAGTCTGCCCCGAGGAAGTGGTCCAGGCTTCGGGGGCCCCGCATTGGAAAGATCAAGACATCCAATTTCTGGTGTCCCCAAACCCCTCTCGCGTCGGAGAAAGATCGCGGCGGAAGGCGTTTGAAGCTCTTCAGCCTCTAGAGGCAGTTTTTTCCCCAGGTCCGCGACTGCCCAAGAAACGGCTCGGGATGGAAGAGCCAGCCTTCGGGGAAGCGGCCGAGATTTATGATGTTCCAACTTATTTCAGCCCTGACTACCAGAAAAAGTTTCGAGCATCAAGAAAGGACCGAAAATGGAGGGTTTTCACGCGTCGGGACCTGGGAGGCGATACAAGTTCGACACTTTTTCAAACTTGTCTGAGAGCTCGAGATTATCTCTGGGGTGCGGTCCTGACGTACGGTGGGAGCAGAGCAACATACGTACTCTGTGTCCCTCAATAGTTCTGGGCCCCCGGACTACAGGTAACCCCCGGACTACAGGTATATACCCCCCCCGAACTGCAGGTACCCCACCCCCGGACTACAGGTATACCCCCCCCTGGACTACCCCTCCCCCGGACTACAGGTATACCCCCTCCCGCACTACAGGTACCCCTCCCCCGGATTACAGGTACCCCCACAGGGCTACATCCACGCGTGCGTTGATGCGTGAGCACTCGTTCCCCGCCCCCCACCCCCCCCCTGGATTATACAGGTGCCGGCCGGCCGGCCCCCCCCCCCATATATTTTTATATATACATATATATATAGATATATAGTCATATATATATATATACATATATACATATATACACATATATATATATATATTTATGGCCGAGATCCTTGGCCGGCCCACGCCGCCGCGGACAGCAGCTGTGCATCGCCAGAGCAGCGTGGGGGGCGCCCGAGAGTCTGGGCCCGACGCCCCCAGCACGGAGAGGTCGTCCCGAGGCCGAGCCCGCGAGGTCGACCGGGAGCCCCAGAGCTCCGATCGGGGAGACGTAAGACTCGAGTAAGCCAGCGTTTCCTCCTCCTCTTCCTACTCTTTCTCCTCCTCCCTCTCCCCTCCTCCTCTCTCCCTTCTCCTTCTCCTCCTCCTCCTCCTCCTCCTCCTCTCTCCTCCTCCCTCCTCTCCTCCTCGTCCTCCTCCTCCTCCTCCTCCTCCTCGTCCTCCTCCTCGGGTCGCCTACGGCCACGGGGGAAACCGTGCAAACTCGGGTTAGCCGAAGTTTTTTGACGAGCGCGTCCTGGATTTTGACGGTCCAGTTTTCATGGGATGTTTGCCCCGGGATTTCGTGTGAAATTGCAGGTTGGGCCTCGTCGTCTTTGTAATGGCCCCGTCAGGCCAGCCCGAGCCTCCCGTACCCGAGTCTCGCGTCTCCCCGATCCGACGATAGAAAAAAAAAAAAAAAAAAAAAAAAAAAAAAAACTTGTGGCGCTCCGCGCGGAGTTCTTGGATCCGCGCTGGGCCCCCCTGGGCGGCGCGCGGAGCGCGCTGGGGGCGGCGCCAGAGGCGCCGCCGGGGGGCCCAGCGCGGAGCCAAGAAAGCTGCAAGGAGCGCCACAAGTTTATGCTTATGGCTTTTTCTTTCTATAGACGATCTGATTTCCCCCACTCGTTCTCCGTTCTCGGCCCTCGGGGACCGCTTCCAGGCGCCGGGGCCGTTCAGAACCCGGGATGGAACGCCGTCTCTGGGAAAGCGGTCGGAGCTCTGCTGAGGGCCGCGGAGTGGCGAAGTCATGTCGTCGGCGGATGTCCGTCGTCTCTGGGCGGGCGTTGCGGGAAGGCCCTGCCGCGGGGGCCAGGCCAGTGGAGGCCAGGGGGAGCCCGCCGAGGCAGAGAGGCAGCGGTGCGACAGCCTGCGGCCGCCGCCGCCGGCCCCCCCAGCGCTCAGAGGCCCGCCGACCGCGAGGAGGTGCGGGCAGGGCGACCGGTGTCAATCAGCCCCTCGAGCTCGTCCGGATCCCTGGGCTGCGCCGTGGGGGAGAGGCGGGTCCCGAGGGAGGCGGGTCCCGAGGTTTTTTTGTCTCCGCGCGCGGGCTCGTCGGGGCCCCCATCCACGGGCCCCGGGGCCGTCCGAGAGCGACTCGGGAGGAAGGCCTCGTCCTGTTTATTTTTTGTTGTGTGTGTGTGTTTGTGTTTGTGTTTTGTGTTTGTGTTTGTGTTTGTGTTTGTGCTTGATTTTGTGTATGGTCGTGTTTCTGTTTGTGTGTGTTGGTGTTGGTGTTGGTGTTGGTGTTGGTGTTGGTGTTGGTGTTGGTGTTGGTGTTGGTGCTTGTGTTTGTGTTTGTGTTTGTATTTGTGCTTGTGGTTGTGGTTGTGGTTGTGGTTGTGTTTGTGTTTGTGTTTGCGTTTGCGTTTGTGTTTGTGTTTGTGTTTGTGTTTGTGGTTGTGGTTGTGGTTGTGGTTGTGGTTGTGGTTGTGGTTGTGGTTGTGGTTGTGTTGGTGTTGGTGTTGGTGTTGGTGTTGGTGTTGGTGTTGGTGTTTGGGTTTGTGTTTGTGTTTGTGTTTGTGTTTGTGCCTGTGTCTGTGTTTGTGTTTGTGTTTGTGTTTGCGTTTGTGTTTGTGTTTGTGTTTGTGTTTGTGTTTGTGTTTGTGTGTGTGCTTGTGTTTGTGTTTGTGTTTGTGTTTGTGTTTGTGTTTGTATGTGTGTGCGTACGTGCGTGTGCGTACGTGCGTGTGTGTGTGTTTTGGTTGAGGTTGTGTGTGTGTGTGTTTTTGTTGTTTTATTGTTTGTGTTGTTTTTATGTGTTGTTTGTTGTGTTTCTGTTTTCCCCCATAGTGTGTTTTTTGTGGTGGGTCCAAGGCCGGTTTCCCCCAGGACCCGTTGCCCCCATGCGATGGCTTGTCCCGATCCGTGGGACAGGCCAGCCCATGGCGATGGCAGTCGCGGGCGTGAGCACCCAGAGGCTTCTGCTCTTCCCCTCGCGCTGAAGGACCACATCCCAGAAATAAGTTCGAACTGAAGTAGGCGAAAGTAGGTCGGAACATCATAATCAGAGGCTGCGGTGGTGATCGTTGTTTTATTCATTGCTTTGCGGACCGGCGCGGGCCGCCCAGTCCCCGTTCCCCCCCTATGGAGTAGATCTTGGCTGTTATTGGCGCTTGTTTCGAGCAGGTGGAGGCTCCTTTCATAGGATGCACTCTTGCAAACAGTCTCACTAAGCAGAGGTCTGGAACCAGACCCCCCCTCCTCCCCACCCCTTCCGCCCACTGTCGAAACGCCGACTAAAAAAACCTTCACATGGCCCTTGAGATCGGCACCGAGGTGAGGTGGTGCCAGTAAAAGGGATAGGGCGGTTTTCCTTGCTGGAAGGACAGGGGACTTCCGTGGATTCCGGGGGGGGGAGGCAGGCTGCGGCGGGGGAGTGGGGAGAGGCGAGCTCCTGGACCGCACGTTGTCGTCTGGAGGGCGAAAGGCGGCAGTGACAAAAACGTCCTGATGCCCGCGCGGATTTCTGGGGGCGGCGCTGGGGCCTCCACTCCCCACGCCACTGGGCGGCGCCCCCGCCGCCGCCGCAGCCGGCGCCACCCCCACGCGTCGGGGAAGGGGTGTGGGGAGGGGGTCCAGCGCATACCCAAGAAATCCGCGCGGGCCTCCAAGATATTATGCTCGTGCTGTTGTATGGAACTCTATCTATACGATCTTGGTGCTCTTCTTTTGGAATGCTCCTCATCTGATCCTGCTTCCTCGGGACATGGGGCTTCCACAGCCTTCCTCGCAGCCGATTGGCCTCCGCGGGCAGCGGATTCGTCATGCGGGACAGCCCAGACTTCAAATGGAACATGTTCGACACGTTCGTGGTCTTCACGAGCGTGTTGGACGAAGTGATGAAGCGCATGTCAGTTTTAACACTGGACTTATCAGCAGTTCGCTTGCTGAGGATATTGCGCCTCGCTCGCATCATTAGGATAATTCGATTGTTGCGTTTCTTCCAAGATCTGCGCATTATGGTGGCAGGCATTCTCGGCTCTCTTCACTCGTTGATGTGGGCGCTAATTTTGCTCTTGCTCGTAATGTTTGTAGTTGCCACCTCCGTGATGCAGATAATTTCCGACGAGTTGGCTCGGGACGACCATAGCTTCTCAAACGTTAATGTCAAGCACATGGTGCAATATTACGGTAGCATGTTCACTTCTTTGTTCACTTTGTACAAGTCCATCACAGGCGGCATCAGTTGGTGTGAGGTGGCTGATCCATTGCTTGAGCTCAGTCCTCTCATGGGTGCGGCTTTCTCCATATACATAGCTTTCGGCCTCCTATGTGTGCTCAATATCGTGACCGGCGTGTTCGTGGACAACACCAAGAAGATGTACAATCGCGACGATGGGGCCGTAGCTTTGGACGAGATCGACCGGACGAAAAACAAAGCACGAGACTTGAAGGCTTTATTTTTGAGGGCTGATTCTGACGGTGACGAAGATGTTACTCTAGAAGAGTTCAAAAAGCTCCTGGATGTTCCCGAGGTCAGGGCCGTGATGCGCGCGCAGTACGGCCTGGACGTGGACCAGAAAAGCGCCGAGGGACTCTTCGCAATGTTCGATAGGGATGGAGATAATTCTTTGAGCGTCGACGAGTTCATTTTCGCCATTCAGCGCTTTCACGGCCAAGCCTCCAGCTTGGAGCTTGCACAGGTATCAATGCAGCAGATGCGCTTGGGCCGAGAAATCGCCAAGATACAGTCGATGTTGACACATAACGCCATGCAGCAGAGTCCAGATAGCTCAAACGTTACCAAGAGGCCTCCTAAGATTGCCGATTGCCAACCAACTGCGAAGTCCACAGTGACATTGGGTAGAACTTCCTACTTGCTTCCTACATCTGACACAAAGGAGCTCGACTGATCTAGGGCCCCACCCTTCTGTCCAGACTTGTGAATGCCACTGTTAGTTTTCTGAGCACCGTGCGTCTGTTTGAATTGCGGCACGCCCGCTGCTCGGCATCAACACGCCTGTTGTGATCAGCCAATGGGCGTTGGATTTCCGGCGCTCGCGGTAGGAGGCGATGTTCGTTGCCAGCAGTTGAGGTCCGTGTTGGGTTGTTTCTTTGAGAGTGGCATCCTGGGCAGGATTCGTTGAACATTCTTTGCACGCGTTTCTCTGGAGTTGTGTGAAGCATTCGAAGGCATGTGATGGTGTTTTCCCCCAGGTCCCCTTTTGGTTGGATCCTCGCTTGGGATTTAGCACCTGCCGAGTTTCTCCTGCCCACACCTCCCCTCCTCCTGTGTTTCCTCCTGTCCTCCACTCTGCTCCCGTTCCGCATCTACCGCTTCTCTTCGCTTCCTCGTCTCTCGTATTCACATGCGTCTCTGCGGGGTCTGGAGGGGGGTGGGTCGGTTGATGGACAAAATCCTGCACCAGCCGCGCGACCGGGGCGACGGCGCAAACTTCCACGCGCTCCCCTGCCCCCAATTCAATGTGGACTGGCTGCGCCCACGGGGTGCAGGATTTAGGCCAGTCGGCGGATCGACAAATCGCGCCACAGCCTGCCAATATTAGATTGGGGGCGCGGGGGGCGAAAACAGAAATCAAAAAAAGTGCAGGATTCTGTCCATCAACTGGTGCAGTGCTTTTCTGCGCCACTTGGGGGATTCCAGCGGAGTGTCGTCACGCGGGGGTCCAACGAGATGTCGCCCGCCTTGGGTGCTGCCCTCCCCCCGTGGCGACACGAACCTGCCGTACACCACCACAACCACTGTGAGTGGCCAGGGCCATCTTGGGCCCAAGGATGGCGTGTATGCCTTCCTCGCCTCGGCCAGGAGGCTGTATACACCATGCCGCGGGCCCAGGATGTCCCTGGCCATGCACGGCGGTGGTGTATAGGAGCCTCCTTCGTGACCCTCAGCTTTCAGAGGTCCGCGCGGATGTTTTGGGTCGACACTGGACCCCACTCCTCTGGCGCGCAGAGCGCGCCAGGGGCAGCGACGGATGCGCCTTCAGCGGGGGGGGGGTCCCAGCGCCGACCCTGGGGAATCCGCGCGGACCTCCGAAGTATATGTTGATGCCGTGCTTATGCTGTTGTTGTTTTTTTTCATTCTGCGTATAGACATTCTCGTCCTCGGTTCCACTCTCGCCTCATTGGGGGGGTGCCAGAGGTGTCCTCGGCCCCTGCACGTCGTCTTGGAGCCCCTGGGGCACTGTGGGCCTCGCGAGGGGTACGCTGGTGAGGCCACCTGGGCCTCCTTGGAAACCCTAGGAATACCCTGGGCCAGGGATGCTCCTCCGCCTCCTCCTCCTCCTCCGCCTCATCCTCCCCCATCCTCCTCCGCCTCCTCCTCCTCCCCCTCCTCCTCCACCCTCCCCCGCCCCCTTAGGCTCAAGTTCAATCCTGTCGAATCGACTTCGAGGTTCGAACTTCGAGGTTCGAGGCTTTCGGGTGTCTTCGTAGTCTCTCGGCGGTCTCCTGCCCTCGGGGTGCGTTCCAGCGGCTGCGCCTCGCCGAGGGCGTTCTAGGGGCGCCAGATCGTCCCGAACGGCCGCTGGAGGCCCGAGTTATGGCCCGAAGACCAAAACCTCATCGCTCATGTCGATTCTGGAAGGCCCGACCCGATGGAACGTTTCGACTTCCCGTCGGTCCGCTGCAGACGATGCTCGCGAGACGCCGTTGGTGCGTCTCGGCGCGGCCGATCCGCTCCGACCTCGACTCCGAGCCGACGCGGCCCGATGCGACGCACGTTCCGTCCCGATCCGCTGTCCTGATTCGATGCCGGATGATCTTGCCAGGGACATGTGGCTGTTTACCTACTCTCTTTTTTGGGGCAACGTTGGTGGCACCACTCTTCACGCTATCCCCAGCTTGGTCGTGGTGCAGGATGCAAAGAAACTACCCTGGCAAAGCACCCTAATAGTAGCACAGGCGAAGAGGCGGATCGAGGAGTAGGATGTCGGCTATAAGGGTCAGGGATGAGGGCACGGCCACTTGCACCGTAGCGTATTTTTCCCAACCATCTTGTGGTGTTGCGTCCTCGCTTTGAAGAGAAAGCGCCCCGCGTCCTCACTCCTCCCACTGCTCCCTCCCTCCCTCCCTCCTGCTCATCCCTTCCTCTGCTCTCCGCATGCACGTGTCGGCACACCCCTCACACGCTTCGTGGCCCCATAGGACTCTCCACTGAAGGTCCCAAAGGTAGCGCCAGCATGGCGGCCCCGCCCCATGCTGGCACACTTCTCACACACAGTTCGTAACCCCAAAGAGAGCTCGACCGAAGGCCCCGGTGGCAGCGCCGCATGGCGGCCCCTCCCCTTCTTGACGCACCTCTCCCGCGCCTCGGAGCCCCATAGGGAGCTCCATCGAAGGCTCCAATGGCAGCACCCGCATGGCGGCCCCGCCCCTTTTTGGCACATCCCTCACATGGTTTGGAACCATGGGGAGCTACACCGAAGGCCCCAGTGGCAGCGCCAGCATGGCGGCACCGCTTTGCCGCACCCATCAGACGCTTCTTGGCCCCAATAGAGCTCCACCGAAGGCCCAAATGACTGCACCCGCATGGCGACCCCGCTTTATTTTGGCACACGCTTCCCACGCTTCGTGTCCCCATACGGAGCTCCACCGACGGCCCCAATGGCAGCGCCCGCATGGCGGCCCCGCCCAAGTTCGGCGCACAAGCAGACACACGCACACACAAATATACACACAGTCTCTCATATGTATATATATATATATGTATATATATATGTATATATACATACATGTGCTTTTCGTGGCCCAGAGGGTGCTCTCCCTCCTTCGTCCTGCCTGCCTTGCTATACCGAGGCCTGCCATGTAGTTGGGTCCTTCGCGAAGATAACTTCCAAGGGATTGTGGCCGCCCAGCATGCAGCCAGCGGCGTCTGATGCGAGAGCACGATCCCTCCATGCATTGGGAGAGAGTCTCAGAGGCGGAACGGCTGCCGGACGGGGCGACCTCGGGCCCCGGATTCCCCGTCGTGGGACTCTGCTGTGTTCTTTGGTTCAGGAGGGGGAAAAAACACACAGACACTATGAATCGTCGATTCCCCAGAAAATATGGGAAAATATGGGAAGTGGAGGGGAAGACGAAAACGCAGAAAATGTTAGAAAACATCGGGAATCCTGTTATTTGTATCTATTTACATGTGTGTCCCAGGGCCCCTTCACTGGTTCTTGTTGCAAGTCTATAGTGCAACGTTGCTAGGGAACGAAAAACACCTTTTGCCAACACCCGCCCTTAGCCTCGGGTCGCCGGGCGCCCTCATAGCCTCGGCCTATCTCGCCTGCGCCTGCCGCGGGCGGTATCCAGGACCCAGACATCCGGCGCCTCGCCTCGATCTCTGCAAGACGCTGCCCCCCCTCCCGACCCCTCGACCGCTCCCCCCCCGGACACGACCGCGTCGTACAAAGTCAGGACGGCCAGTGTTTCGCTACGTTCGGCCCCCGGGCGCCCTCGCCGGGCCCCGGGGCCGTCAGAAGACGACGCAGGAGGAAACACCGGCCCCCTGGGGAAGGGGCTCTGGCCGTCGGGCGCGCGGCGAGAGGGGGGGGGGGGGTCAACGTCAGGGGGGCACGGTCGGGCCGAGGTATCACACCGAGAGCAGTTCGGGGAGGGTGCCCTGGTGCTCTCCGTGCTTGCTTCAGGGCCTCCTGGATGGGGTCGGAGCAGACTGGGTCGGAGGATCGCGCCGCCTTGCCGATGCATCGACGATCCATCGGCGATGCGGCTCGATGCGGGGCCCCATTTTCTCAACGCCGACGTCGCCGATGCACCGCCGACGTCGCTAGTGCATCGCCGATGCATCGGCGATGCAGCAAGATCTTCCGACCCCATCTACTCGGACCCCCTGTAGGAGGCCTCTATTGAATGTTCTTGTGCATCTGAGGGAGGGCACCCTCGAATGTTCCTCAGTGTTGGCCGGCAGAGGATCTCATGTGCCAGCAGCGAAGCCGCACGTTCCTGGGCGGGGTGTGCTATCGGCCCCCTATCTGCGATGAATGGGCGTTCGGGGGTCGACGCCTACCCGCCCCCCCCTGAGCCTGACACCACCCCCGACGTTGCCCCATGAGGGGAGCGGGGCGGGGGGGGGCAGAGGGCGGAGCTGCTCGTGGTAGTCCAGCGGCCGTGCCCCTCTTCGCATGGGGGAAGCGGGTCCCGAGGGAAACGGGTCGTGGACCCCGGGGCCCTGCTCCAGGACGAGGCCTTCCTCCCGAGTCGCTTCTTCCGAGGGCTCCGGGGCCCGTGGAGGGCCTCGAGAGCCGGAGAGCGGCGGAGAAGCTCAGCACCATTTTCCCTCGGGAGCCGTTTCCCTCGTGGCGACCTTCGCGCCATTTTCCTCGCCGCCGCCCATCGGCACTCGCCGCGCGGCTGGCCCCCGCGGCCGACCGCGGCTGGGCCCTGCGGCCAGGGGCCGCCCGCGCGCCGCGGTGCCGCCTTGGGCCGGGCCTGCGCAGGCAGGCCGGGAGCTCTGGGCGATGTGACTTTTTGGTCGGCGGCGGCGATAGGGGCGAATAGCCCAGGGGCGGGCATTGCACGTATTCGTCCGGGAGCCTCGCCGAAGGCATGGACCATCGACGCCCCTGGATACATGGATTGCTCTCCCCTGGGCATTTCGCCCCCATCGTCGCCCCCGATGTTGTCGGTTCGGGAGCCTCGGGACGGGGGTCAGTGCAAACGGGGGTCAGCCAGAGCGCCCAATCTTGCAGGATCCTGCATAGCCAGGGTCGCATTGACCCTGGCTTGGGTGCAGGATGTTGCTGGATGCTGCAAAGCCTGACTGGCCAGGATCTGGATTGGCCCTGGTCAGTAGATCCCGGATCGGTCTCGGGCGGGTGATAAGGGGGGGTGACCTACAGGGGCCCTAAAGAGGCCCTAAAGGGTCCCTTTGGAGCCTTTGCCT